TGATGTGTGTGGTGATGTAATTCTGTGTTTGTTTAGTGATGTGATGTGTGTGGTGATGGAATTCTGTGTTTGTTTAGTGATGTGATGTGTGTGGTGATGTAATTCTGTGTTTGTTTAGTGATGTGAAGTGTGTGGTGATGTAATTCTGTGTTTGTTTAGTGATGTGATGTGTGTGGTGATGTAATTCTGTGTTTGTTTATTACAATGATGTATGTGCTTCATGTTGTAGTTTTATGTTGTATGACTTCTGAGCATTTCTAATTGTTTGTCTATCCTCTCTGTGTATCTGACAATGGACTGCATTTCGAGCTGCAAGAAGTGATTATCTCCCTTTAACTGACCGTTTTAAAGATACATGTAATTAAAATACTGTAGTAGTCTAAAACATTCATAGTATCATATCTGCAGGGGCGTAGCTAGCCCAGCAGAAATGTGTAAGCCCAGGCGAGGGGTTTGAATTTCTTGATGTCAAAGATGTTTTGAATCGTTTCCTGAGAAAGTTTTTTTTTATTTGTTTAACAACAAACTTCAACCCCTGATATTTATTTTCAACCTTAGTTTTGTAATTTTGTCCGACAAACTCTATGCATAGATTTTTATGTGTAAACCCGGGCTTTTTCTTTCTATGGAAGCTACGCCCCTGATCTGAATAACCAGGATACTTATTTTTATTCCCCATAGTGGACGTTAAGCCGGTAAATAATTAGATAAAGATATATAAAAGAATTAATTGATAAATAAAAATAAGTAACCAAATAAATAAATAGATAGATAAAAGATGAAAATAAATAAAAGAATAAATAAAGATAAATGAATGAATTGATAAACTCTCTTGTTCTTTCCTGATGTAACAATTCTGTGGGAGTGTAAATATGCACATCCTTCGTCACTTTGTTACTTTGTCATTTTTATCTGATAAGGAAAGTGATGAAACTTATTCAGCGAAGTAAGAATAAGAGTCCGGCTCAGAACGGTAGAGACAAAAAAATACTCTTCCTTTTCACTCTGTCAACATCCTCATAGAATTTAAGCTCAGTATTTGTAGTCAAACACTGAAGCACCCGTCTCCGCCTGCCCCTGAAGCTAACATTAGTTGCTGTCCGAGATTTCGATGCGTGTCTCCAGCTGGAAAATGTGCATACCATCGCAATCCAAGGTATCTATCGAGAGCTTGGACAGGTATTTGGTTTCGGCGTATCTTGAGCCTTAGTAGATATCCATGATCTTTGCAGGGCTCAAGGTGGTTGTGATGGAATATTGCCTCTCTTGTCAGCTATCCGCTATAAAACCGGTAAGTTCATGGCTGCGATGATGTATGGACCCACCGAGGACGGTTTAACCTTTGGGCACTGACCCACCTTGGTTGCCGAGTGTCCACTTTGAGCACAACGTCCCCAACTTAATAATGATTTTGGTTAAGGTGTTCATCATAGGAGCGTTTCTACCGGTCCTGTGCCGCTCACGAGCTAACTGGTGAACTCCTTGCAATTGTCCTGAAATGACTGTACATATAGCGTTCCTGATTAAACGATATATTATCCAGGAAAGTATCAAGTGGTTGACTCCCAAATATCATGATGTTTGGGGTAAATCTAGTCTGTTAGTGGTTTATAGCTCGAATAGCACCTGCCAGATGCTGCAACCTCTTTATGTTCTTGGAAGAATGGATAAACATGTGATCTTCTGAGTTAGCCCCTCTAGCAATCATTTATACTTGTATAGTCAGGACAAATATTCTGATATCCTTACCTGAATTAACACTGGAGAACCTGGTTATCCAACAATATTGTATAATTGGAAAGGTCGAATGATGCCGTGAAAATTCATGCCGATAATAACGGCATCCCCGATATCAGTCTCTACGTATGCGGCCTTGGTGTAAATGGATAAAACACACACATTGATTCTGATGTATCTTTTATTGTTTTTTTTCCCCCAAATATTCCATAGCCCCAATGTTGTATGATATGAAAAAGCTCTGTTTCTCGACTAACAGTGTATATTGTCTGTACAAATATTATTATCATCCGTAATTCACTATGTGTAAATCAAATAAACACGGGTCTAACAAATTCAATATCCAGTCAAATACTTGCAAGCACCACATCGATCTGACCATATCATAAAAAAAACAATGAGCAAATACAATCATGCAAACATCATCATGATTTAAAATCAAATTCAAATATAAAGCAAAAAATGAACAAAAGAAACATTTACACACGGACCTCTGAAAATAGCACGAGGGAAAATATGTGGTGTTCCGGAATAGGCAGCGCCCTGTAAATCTTGATGATTCCAAATTAGTAAAGGCACGTTCTCAAATGAGAACAAGGTATACAACGACGGAACCAATAGGAAAACTAACGTCAAGCTTCTTATCACACAAAGAAATGAAACATTTCTCAATGAGATCACTATGGCGACCATAAAACTTCCCCATAATTTTCATCATTAGTCATTGGTAATTAATTTTTTTACCATTTCTTATTGTAAAAAATTTTAAAACAATCGTATTGTCATATGTATAGACTTCAGAAAAGTAGTTCCAATATGGCGTAGTCATAAGGTTAAAAATTGAATTTGCCTTGCGTGTATTATGATGGTTCCTTGAAATTGAGAATCCGAACACCCTAACAATGTTCACTATCGCCAGTCGTATTTTTGAAAATCATGTAACTTGTGTTATCAAAACAATAAGAAAGTACTGAAGTGAAGCACAGAGCTTGTTGTATTGTTCCCTATATCTCTATATCTCTTCATCGATACTAAAGTTAGGTAGTGTCTGTGAACACAACCCTGATGTAAACGTCCTACACTTGGCCTTAAATGGATACATCATTTTTACGGATTGTTCTAACAATGAAGCTACCGATTACAACAAGTGATTTACGATACTGTCATGCGTACAATCTATACAAGCAGTATCGATTTCAGGAAAACTCACACTGTCGAGTCGAAAATAAACTTCGTTCAAAGGTTTTTAAAGTTGAATGTCCATATATCTCGTCGTGATCGTTTTGCAAAGTGTCTAAAATTATAACCAAAGCTTGACCGGTATATAGATTAACAGTTATTCTGAAATTTGAAAATTTGATTTTTTACATACATTGTGAGACTTATATACGTCATGTCATACCGTTAAAAACAAACTGAGGTACACACACTCAAATCCATTTTAAACCAATCCAGCCTAGTTAGGTACACGAAACTCACCTCAATTTAACGAAATCCTGTTAACAAACACAATGTAGTAATTACCAGTCCAGCCTAGCGAGGTACATGAAAATGACCTCACTTTAACGTATTTCTGTTAAACCCCTTAACTCCCAACTTCCCATTTCTACGCATTGTAGAAAACCCGTCATATCTCCCTCATTTGTGGAGGTATTGATCTACTGATTAAATCTCATAAATTTGTAGAAAATGCCGATCAACTTTTGATCTTAGTAAATTTTGATTTGGTAAACCTACATTTTTTCCTGTGAGATGACGTCAGAAAAAGCATGCAGCACGCGATATCGCACTGTACATGTAAACGCACCTACTCCATATGTACCCTTGTGCAATTTTTTGTGACGGCTTTCTGAATTTTGCGTAACATCGACTAGTGGAACCAACTTTTATTCGCAATCTCCGCGAGCGCTTTATGGTATTATGTGTTGTAATTCTAAACCAACAAGCTTCAGCTGTCGATCATACATTTTTTTTATTAAATGAACAAACATCCATTTTTATAAAGATCAGTAATAACAACACTCCAATATATAAATTTGACTTATTCATTCATCAATTTAACAAGTTTAACGTGCGCTATTAAAGCCTTTTGTCTTTCAACATTTCAGGAGACGCAATAAATTTGACAATCAGGTTGTTATGCATATAAACAATGTCTCTACTTAAATTACACAAGTTGATAAATATGAATTCATTAATATAGGTTTTCCACCCTTATATGCTCATATTTATATCATGCCCCTCGTTTCAATTGATTTAAGCTTTGTATGCATGTCTGTGTTCTAATATATATATGAATATAATTCAGGAGTTATATTCCATATCAGAAGAGAAAAATAGATGTTTACTTGTTGCATTGTATAAACGATGTAAACATATAAAATGTGTATGCAGATCTTTCTTCAAAGAAATTTAGGTTGCCATCGTAACCAGGCCACTATACACTGGTGATTGTGTTATATGCACCAAGTTGTATGATAAGCGTGGTGATTTCAATTTCCCTCTTGTGAATTTCTCATTTCTGCATCCCTAACCTATGGTGTTTTCATGTTGCAGTTGGTTCGATATTCAAAGGACTCTTCTTTTTATCACTATTTTCCTACAAGAAGTTATAAAATGACAGATAAACTCGTAACACAGAGTTTCAAATGATGCAGGTTGATGAAAAATGAATGGGAAGTTTTAGTCAAATGTCGTCAAAGTTATCCCAATGAAAAATACTCTACTTGTTTGTATGATGTGAGGCGGTAATAATAATAATAAGAAGAATAAATTTATTCAGGAGAAATATGTACAGATTTGTATACAAAACATGAATATATGGCACATATAACATGTTATACATAATCATGAATAAGTTGTTTGCTACATCTTTAATGTATCAGCTAGTGATATTTATAAATAAAGACAAAAGTACATATATCCTAGGATTTCCCAAAAAAGCGTTAAAGCGTTTATTCCCATTGGGGTCTTTAAAATGGATTTACAAATGTATTTCCCTCAATAATATACATAATAACTATCATGATTCTCTTGCATTTTGTTTTGAAAGTGACATTTCACTTGGGTTTTGAACTTAAGCTTGTTTGATATACTTTCAATATAATCTGGAAGAGAATTCCATTCTTTTGTGCCGGTAAAGTAGAATGTTGTAGATTCTTTACCTTGTACTGATGGGAGACTGAAATTATATGCTGAGGATCGAGTATTTGTTCCGTGTTCTAAAATGAGAACGTGACATTACTTACTTGGATTGACCAAATTTAACGACCACGTCCATCGTATTTACCCACCAGAACTGATATCGGAGACACGGCAGACTTTTCTATATCAGCCTGTCTGCCTTTCTCAAACTTTTCCTACAACAAAACCAACATGATGATTTCAATTTTAATTTCCCTATCGCGAATTTTCCATTTCATGATAGCATTATCCTGCATCTCCAACCTATGGTATTTACATGTCACAGTTGATTCGATAATCAAGGGCCTGTTCCCATTATCACGATTTTAATGCAAGAAGTCGTTAACTGATGATCAAACTCGTAAGACAGGAGTTCAAACGATGCAGTTTTAAGAACGCGACATTACTGACTTGGATTGACCAAAGTTAACACGACGGATGTTGTCGTTGAAGAAAAAGGCTCTTACTCTTCCGGAACACATGTTTTTACTCTTATTGCACTTTTTCAGTAGGTTTTGTGTAGACCTTTCTATTGTTCGTATTTCGCCCTTGTTTTATTCATTTGAGTTTGGATTATGATTTTGTTGACAAAAAGGTATTTTCAGTTGTCTATACATTCAAACATATAGTTCATCATGACAACTATAAGACATACAGAGTAAACACGTTGAAAAATTAATTTCATATTTCTGCTACACTGGGTTGTGACATCTGAAAATAAATATTCAGTAAAGCTTGTAATTTAGACATACATCTATACATCAGAGCTTATATAATGTGTACATATTAACTTTTCATTCAATGCTTCCTGAGATAAATTGTTTTTACACACAATATTAACGTTCATCAAAAAATAAGCTTTTCAGTTTCCTATTATATGTTCTGGTGGTTGACTAAACTGTTATACAAAACTTGTCTTATGTGATGAACTTAAGGCAGACCAAAATGAAATTTGCTTATTTCAACAACATCAAATATTCGATTAAGAGCTAGTAACCATGGCAACAACCACGAATCAGTAAATTTCTGGCAGATATGTATTCATCGGTTCCTAATCCAGTAGTTCACAATATTATGAATTTCGGATGTAATTTTTTATTCACTTCATCTTCCAAAACATTAACTAATGCTAGGATTGCGACAATTTTTTTTCAAATGTTTAAAAATTCTGGTTGCTATGGTAACATCATTGTTCGTAAAACATTATTTTTGTCCAAAAAATTGGAAAGCTTGTATCCCCATGTTTCTAAATATATGGGGGTTGCGTAACAAAAAGTTGACTGGAAAAGGGTGAACATTAACGTTGATGCAAAATAACAGATTTTCCTTAGTGTCATTACAAATTCCTGGGAGTTAAGGGGTTAACACACAGTGTGGTAACACCACAGCGGTCTAGTGAGGTCCATGAAAGTTACCTCACTTTAGCGAAATTCTGTTAGCACACAGTGTTTAACACCACAACGGCTATGCGAAGTAGGTGAAATTTACCCGAGCTGTGTGCTAGGTCACCAATTTGAAGATCGCGGAGTCGATGCACTGTGCAACACTGCACCACTAAAGCGGGGTACATAGATAAATGTCATGTGACGTAGATATTCGATTTCGGGGTCGGAAAAGTGAGGTGACGGGAAAGAGTACCTCGTGAATATGTTGTCATGCTATTCACCTCGGAACATAATGTAAACACACACACACACACACACACACACACACACACACACACACACACACACACACACACACACACACACACACACACACACATCACAAATCACTCATGGCACAAGCAGTAAATAATGACAGTATAGTGAAACCTCACTATTAAGACCACTTTGGGAACTGGACAAAAGTGGTCTTGATAGTGAGGTGGATCAGATTGTTTAAAATAAAGACTGTTGATGTTTATAATTACTTTGAGTTTGTTAAACTGTATACAAAATAAGACAAAAATGGCGAACTGACAAAATATTATATATGTATAAATTCCTTAGTTTATATCATAATATACAGGGAGGTCGGGATTATTTGAATCTTTTGTTGTTGGGATACAAAGATGGGTGTAGGTACTGTATTTTCATACCAAAGTTATGGTAAGTATTACCTCATAAAAATTGGTTTTACACGAAAAAATCTCAAATTTCGCTACTACAAAAACAGTTTAAAAGAAACCCCTCGACAACGAACGTGTGCGTGTACGAGAAACAGAAACAAAAAACAGAAATAAAATGTTCTTTAAATAACAACAGGGGAAACGTCAGCGGAATCACCAGGCATAATTGCTTGCAATGAACACAGGCTTTTTTCATATCGCACAAATACCTCAATAGGACAATTTGAATCTTTGCACGATATTTTTATATCATGGATGATGATTTATGCATGTTGGGGGAGCTATCCGTGTCTGTTTGTCTAAAGTGACATATATTTCAACGGCGTCTCCATTTGAGTACTAACATTCAGGTTTTTGAGATTTTGCGAATCTTTTATCTCCAAGATTCCTACTCTTTTATACAGGCTCACGCACTGCCTGTCTATTAGTTGGACATGCTGGTATTTCATAGTTAACCTCCATTTAGAAGACGCTAGCTTTGAGTTCGTCCTTTTAACGCACCAGTCGCAATTTCTACTCAAATTCCTTTGTAACGTAACTGCCTTCACGTAGTCATGTATCTGTGTCGTAAAATTGAAATTTAAAAACTGATACATGCTTTTTGTTTTTTCTATGGAGTCATTTGTGAAACGCTCATATTGTAGGATTCTGATACTTTGTGGGTATTGTTGATAAAGTTGTTCTGCTAATTTGATATCAGACAACATTCGATTACATTCTGAAGCAGCGTGTAACAAACTGTCATTTAATCGCAGTCTCAGTTGCGAGGATATTCTTGCTCTTGGATCCCGTAGTAAATGTATGACTTTCAGCCTTGGAAGCCATTTAAGTAACAATTGCACAGAAGCCATTTCTAAGCGAATGGTCTTTATGATCCAAACTTTACTAGAATTGCAAGGTTTTGTAAAACGTTTTAAACAACTTTTGATGCGGTATTTAGTTTCGTTAAATTTTGCCCTTTTAAAGCAGTTGTAGAAATCTGCGAAGACATTAGAGTGGGCCAGCATCATGCTTGTGAGATCTTTTATGTTGATCTTCTCTACATCGCACTTGTACCATCGATACAACATCTCCGCTAATATCGAAGTGGTGTCTTTCTTGTTGAATAATCTGTCAATGAAATGACCATTTACATTAGATATTTCGCATGATATGAAAACTATTTAGGAAATTGTACAACTGAAAGTAATGATCATGAAAAAATACATCGATCACGTGTCCCCTCACGTGGACATAATTGACGACAGTTTATTGTTGTTCCATCGAAAGGTCATGATGACGGCATGGTCAATTCGTAATTAAATTGAAACTCGTAAGATATGTAGATTGTAGAATAGACAAACCAGTGGATAACCTCTTTTAATCATTTAGAGTTAAATACAGTAAAGTCAAACAATAAATTAAACTGCATCATACAGCTGTTTCATCCTTGCAGGACTTGTCAGTGATGCTACGGACCAAACATTTGAAGCCTAAGAGACGACTGAGAAAAGAGATCGAAAGAAAAGTCAAAATATAGATGGCAGCAGCCCCATAATTGAATATATTTCGTAATTGTCATATCAGACAATTTTAGAACAACGTCAAGTACACGTGTATTTATTCTGAACATGAATCGCGAACAGGTTAAAGCAAGCCATAAGTAACCATTGAATTGTATCAGATTTTTGGAGAACAATACCTTTGTGTTGAATTAAGAAAAGTTACGTTGTTTCCCTGCATGATATCTTCTTCAATGTATCTTAAAGGTTCAAACATATAAGCACTGCCTTCATGGTGTTGTAATATGTCTCCAATCATAGTTGATCCACTGCGCATGTACGTTAACACAAGCACACAAGCTGGTCCGGTATCTATCAATGTATAAAACACTTCATTGTATTAATGCAACATATTAACTTAACATCATTTTAACACCACGTCAATATAAATGTCTTCCTATACCGTAAATTGGACCATTTTGGTGTCTTAGCTAAAATAAACTTGTTCGTGTATCTCTATCTGTTTTTTTTTTCATTATCCTTTGGTCAACCATCTTTGTGAATGGAATCTAGCGCTCTTTTTAAACAAATATTTATGCAAAGCATCAATGAGACACGTGTGACCACATTGTTTGTTTGTTTTTTTGTTTGTTTTTTGTTTTTGTTTTTGTATTTTTGTTTTGTTTTTAGTCTTTTCTTATAAATTTATTGGGAAGCATTTTGCTACATATACCATTGTTGAATCATGTTCTGCATGTCTCCAGTAAGCCAAACAACTTCAATGTCTTTGTGCACCGGAAGTACAATGTTGTTAGCGCGATTGCTCAACACGTAAGAAGGATGGTTCGTTGTCCCGAACTATACCCAATCTACGTGGCGATGTTTTAGCCAAAATTTAATTGGATAATTAGACTGGTAATAAATCGTCAGAGACCAATTGCTGTGTATACAATGGACTAATATGCCGTAATTAGACATGTGTTACGCGCAGGTGACTTTCTACTTTGTGTAGGTATGGATTGATTTCGTCCGAAGACGTGCCGATGTTTTAGCAAAATTGAAATTCGAGACCACGAAGTGAATTTTCTTTTGCTTTACAATTAAAGGGACTCAAAAATCGCTTTTACTCAACAAAATTTCGACTCAATGAAATTCGAGTAATCTGCACTAATATATAGTGATGTATAAATAAAAGATATAGAAGGAAAAGAAATCGAGAATTATTTCGACTCAAACGGAATTTCGACTCAAGCGATTTCGAGACAACGAGTTTCAACTGTATATAAACACATTTAAAACTAAAGATTTACATATCGTTAATAAAGGTCTTTATCGGCTTTGATCAGTTTGTGGACAGTGATAGATATCATCAATTTAGACTGAAAATATGTAAACTCTGAACATTTTAACGAAGTAAATTTAACCTACCAGCTCAATTACTTGTTACTGGTTTACCTCGCAGGAATACGTCAGTTTGCCTACTTACCTTCAGCTTCTAGTTGTTGTGGTGCAAGAAACTTTGAAGAATTAGAATTTCCTGAAACAAGACAATTCATTCTATATTTTATTACACGAGATCCCAAGGCTAAAACATAAGACATCGTTTCATGGCTAAAACGATACTTGATATCATGGTTTTAACTCTTGGCAGAGAAGAGAGGAATTATTTGGGGAAAGTGTAGATATAGGATAAATAACTAGAATTTTTGAACGTGTCTACGCATGCCTAATTTCACACATTCCAAACTATTTACATATCAATCCGACGATCTGAATATCTGTCAAACAAAGCGTGAAAAACACTTTATCGAGAGTGGTAATATAAATGGGAAGATCAGATTGTGAATAGGAACTCGTTAAGGGTCACCTGTGTAATGGGACTATCTAGCCTTGCTATCAAGACATTTCCAACAAGTCAACATATTATAATCCAAACTCAAATTCAAATAAAACCAGTGCAAATATAAACTACTTTACTTTCATTATACTACTATATATTTACACGGATGCAGATGAAAAATAGTATGAAGAGACCACGTGTTCTGGAAAAGTAAGCGCCTTATGCTTCATCGACGACACCGGTCATGTAAATTTTGGTCATTCCAAGTAATTAATGTCACGTTCTCAAATGAGTACAAGGTATATAACAACGGAACCAAAAGACAAACTAACTAATAACAAACACATCCAGCTTTATATTGAACAAAAACGTGGAATAGCTTTTTGGAGCAGTATATTATCAGGCACTAACCGCATACACAAGTGTCCAGCAAAGAGTACGTTTTCCAATCAAAAATAAGCCTTTATACACCTTCGCGAAAAAAATCTTGTCCATCTTGATACATATTCAAAGGAGGTCTTATACCATGCGCGCAACTTTGTTTCAGAGAAATTGTTTAACAAGACAGGTGCAGATCAAGAATTCATAAGCTTTTAGAAGCGACTTATACTATTGAGGAAAGTATCTGATCAAGCATTCACATTTTCCTATATATTGTATTACATAAATCTAGATGGATTTCATCTTCGTTCGGTTTGCCGTACTAAGCTCCTTTCGTAAAAATTGCCTTAACGAGCGTTGAACATGGTTGTGTTTGGTGATACAGTAGGTGTATATAGTCATTATAGTAAGATTTAGTTATCAACAAATAACAACAAAACGATACAAAGCCAATGCATACATATCTAAGAAAATTACATCTCAAATAAATTTACACAAAAGTATCTTATCAGTTAAAATCACACCATGTTTCTTTCTAAAATAAAATAAAACTAGAAATTGTTGCAAACAATTTTGCGGGCTTTTCACTTCTTTGGCGACAAGTTGACCGGAAGTTGACATTGATCCTGATAACAATATATGAGAAAGATTCCTTGTTTGTTAGTCTCTACAACATACCCAAAGATGAACTTTGAATCTTGAAACGTTAAGGAGATATAACTACATAATAACGAAGAAATACACTTTTTAAAAGTTCAAACATATTTTACCCCTGTGACCTTGAATGTCGGTCAAGGTTATTCATATTTGCAAGCCTTATAATGTAACATCTGATGATCAGTATATCGCCAATAATAGTTCTCTGGACCTTGTAAAACTTGACAAGAAGATTATTGAACACTGGTACCCTATTTTGTATATTTGAACTTTGACCCCTTTCGGAAACCGGAAGTTGGCATTTTGAGGGAAGTTTTTCTTCTGACAATCAATAGGAAGTCTCCACAGAAGGTTTATAATCAATTTGCACCACTGTGTGCCTTTTAGAAAGTGAGAAACTGTCATATAACGATTCTTAGTTAATTGACCTCTGTGACCTTGAAAGTGAGTCAAGGTCATTTATATTATCAAACGTTGTTGCCAGTTACATATGCTTCATAAATGTGAAATAAAGAGCCTCTAGGCCTTTCAGAACTTGAGAAGAAGTTTTTTCAAAGATTGGTACCCTTAACAGCACTTTTCAACTTTGACCCCCTACTGCAAACCGGAAGTTGAATTTTGAGGTACGTTTCTCTTATATCAATCGACAGGAAATGTCCACAGAATATTTATGCCCAAAGGTGAAGACTTTGGGCTGCTTAACAATGGAGAAATTACCTTTAACGATTTTTACATAATTGACCCCTGTGACCTTGAAAGTGAGTCAAGGTCATTTATATTTACAAACTTGAGAGATAATTAAACAGACATCTTACACTTGAAATATCAAGACTCAAGGCTTTGCATAACTTGAGAAGAAGTTTATCAAAGTTTGAAACTGAAAATAACACTTTTGAACTTTGACCCCTACCGAAAACCCAAAGTTGACCTTTGATCCCAGTTTTTTTCCTGTGGAAAGTGTTTTCTTTTTAATTCACATAATATGATAAAAACTGAGGTCACTAGCTTAAGCAGTTCTTGAGCTTCGGCATTTGTTGCAAATCTGGACATAAAAGGATGATTTGAAATTCCAGAGAAATAAGCGATTAGTATAATAACCACCCACATCGTCAAATGAAGAATACAAAAACAATATTTGGAATAATCTGACCCTGCCTTTTTGCCTTTCGGACAAACAACTACATTACAACAACACTGACAAGAAATTTGTCTGTAGATAGGTTATATGTGATATCGAGTCACGCACTAAACGATGGCGCTGAAAGCTATTCCAAAGGGCTAGATTTTTAAAACAACAATCACCAAACAAACGAAAAGGCCAGTATCTTACAGACAGTGTTTCTTCTGAAGTTAAAAGCTGCATTTTTCTTTCAGATTGTGTGTTTTATTCCCGCGTTAGTAAACGTACGTTATTTAATTATTTTGTCATCAAGTTAAAAAAAACTTAATAGCTTTTTATTGAAGAGAAATAAGCATCAAAGCCTTATTAAAATCTGTATGAATTATATTTTAGAGCGGAGTGTTGCAAAGCTGGTGACGTAAATGTGTGATGCCTGAAAATACGCTACACAGGCACGGAAAGAACGAACACTTGAAATAGGGGTGGTGTTATTTCGTATTTCTGTAAAAATATCAGTAGATACATTTGAACGTCAAATCAATCTATAATGAGTATATGACAGGAAAATTTAACATTTTAAGTACGCGAAATTGAAACTCTCTTTTTCTTCGCAGTTCGTCTCTTTAAATTAAACGTTGCTAAATGAAGAGTGGTTCCCAGTAAAACGCACTAATCGAATTCTAATTATTTACTTTAGGATCAAAGCTACAGAAACACAAGTATGTTTTCTGAAGAGGTGTCCATACATACAAACAGGTATTTGAAAGCCCTATTGATGGCCATTATCCCAATATAAATTGGTTTCTCCCACGATTTGACTCAGTTTCCTCATCGCGAAAGTCTAATATTGACTCTGCATATATATGTATTCCTTTATTCCAACTTCCGCTTTCTCCTGATACCACACCAGCTGGATTGTGAAGTTATTGATACCTTGTTAGTAGAGATTGAAAATGACACATAATACACCAAATACGATTTGACATTGATTGAAATATTAGAAAACAAAAAAATAACTTAATGACATAAGATATATTGGAAAACAGTTTGTACAGAAACAATTAAATGAAAAAAATATCAGAAATCTAGTAAATGAGATATACGAGATAAGGGGTGTTCAAAATGAATTATTTACCTTCGGTCTCGAATCTGGACAGCAAATCATATGTATTCCCGTATGAGATAATAGTCACTGATACATACATAACTACAATTAAAACAATAGAGAAAAATAAAGATTTCATGCTGTTAAAACCTCCCATTTTGATTCCCCAATGTAGCAAATTGGTCCAACTTTCTGAACTGTTGTTAAATGTTAAAATCTCTGCAATATATCACGAGGTCAAAAGTTACGCTCTAACGACAAACAGCTACCTATGGGATGGACTCATACATAATAAGGTTCTTTACTAATATCATAGATTCTACTTCAGTAACTAAATATAGATAATGATTTTGTTGTTTTGAGTTAGGATCAATTACATGATTATAAAAGTCATTTTAATTTGACAGGTTTCGAAATAGCACTGGACTCGTCATTAATTGGTCTTTCTATTTTTACACCTCTCAGGGTAATGAGTGGTGTGCCTCCGACAACAACATTCACATGTATACGTGAATGTTTCAGTTCAGTACTAGCTAGAGACCCTGTGTAACATGTACAACACTTAAGATTTATCTGAATATGCATGGTTTGTTTACAAAATGATAGGAAAATGAAAGTAATAAAGTTTTAATGAAAGTAAAAATCCCTTTCTGACGGCATGAGATTAAAGATGATTCTGAGAATAAAACAGTTCATTGTGCAGACATCGTGCGCATATTGCACATTGTGTAGACATCGTGCGCACATTGCACATTGTGCAGATATCGTGCGCACATTGCACATTGTGCAGACATCGTGCGTACATTGCACATTGTGCAGACATCGTGCGCACATTGCACATTGTGCAGACATCGTGTGCATATTGCACATTGTGCAGATATCATGCGCACATTGCACATTGTGCAGACATCGTGCGCATATTGCACAGTGTGCAGATATCGTGCGCACATTGCACATTGTGCATATATCGTGCGATCATTGTACATCGTTCAGACATCGTGCGTACATTGCACATTGTGTTGACATTATGCGCACATTGCACATCGTTCAGACATCGTGCGTACATTGCACATTGTGCAGGTATCGTGCGCACATTGCACATTGTGCAGACATCGTGCGCACATTGCGCATTGTGTTACATTGTGTGATTCGACAAACGTAATGAGTCCAATGCATCACAATGATACTTATCTATATTGTTGCTATTTATTTCCAAACCATTGCACATTGTGTAATATTAATAATTCATGTTAAAGAGCCCAAGGATTTTTATATTGTGCGAGGAACCGGAACAGAACAGTTTACGCATATCATTACATATCCTATCAGACATTTATCACCTCGGCAAAGATGCGTTATACAATGTACCACTGCGCCACTTTACCATCGCATTTACTGGCAGCTATTAACACCATAAAACATATTGCCATATTACATAGTGCTATTTGATAACTCATTTAATGATGTATGTTTTCTTGTTTTTTTTTTGTTTTGTTTTGTTTTTTTTTTTTTTGTAATATTAATAATTCATGGGGGGTGGGTTTACGCATCTTTTTTCTCTTTTATTGCCATATTACATAGTGTCTTTTTGTTTTGTTTTTTGTTTTTTTTTTTACTCATTTTTGGATACTAGTTCTAACTGAAAGCTTTACTTTGTAAGTAATGAAACTAATGAAACACGACAGTACCCGTATCGCTACCGTACCCAAATTGAAACCTTTAACGAGAAAAGTGTCCATCATACCTTGCGAATGAAATATGCAGGAATTCCCTCTAATTATGTAAAAATAACAACATCTAAATATTTATTCAACACAGATTTATTGTACAAAACATCTAAGTTTCTCTGCAAGACCCTTCGAAATGGGGAAAAAATGTCATAAATGTTCCCATCACATATCATACGGCCAAGGGACGGGTATTTTTCTAGTCCTTCTGGGCATTTTTAAACATAATCAAGGAATCTGTTGTTACAAAATAAACTCAAACATCCGAAACAATCACTTTCGTGTAAAAAATGTCTAAGTATATTTTCAGTGGTTCGATTTTGTATCCACGAGCCATGACTGTTGTCGTCTCCGCCATCTTGTTAACAGTGCTTAGCGCATGTCGCCACTAAAATACGCCAGGTGTCCGGAAGAAAATCCGGATACGCTTTTCGCGAAAAGAGAATTGTTTTTGCTAACCTACAAAATCATTAAAAAATAATAAATTCTGAAAAAAATCGATTTATTCGTAGATTCTAATGTACGTTATATAGAATGTATTATTTCGTCTACTGAAAACTTCATAATACACCAATTAACTAACTTGTGAATATCTACACGTGTATCTATGAGGTAAAGTTGATCTCGTCTCTTTTGCTAAGTAATAACACAATTTAAACAGAAAACTAACCTTTCAAATGTATGCAGGGGCCTACACCTATTCAAGTTGCTGGTCATGATAAAAATAAATGTTTTTTTTTTTTTTTTTTGCTTACCTGGACAGAAGGTACTTGCTGATGAGCATTGTGTGTATAGTTTACCCAGGCACAGGTGATTGTGATTCGGTTAAGTGTTGCTTCATAAGTTAAGATCTTTGTAATTTCAAATAGAACACAGAGCGAAGCGATCACTTTGATATTTGCTGCTTTATCTGACATTATGCCGCGCGATGTTCAAAAACTCATTTATAATTGCTACATTAATTAATTGATAATCAAGGATAACATGTTTGTTTTAAATCCATTATTGAACAGATCATGTTTGAATAGTAAAACAGGCCTCTAGACGAATCATGACCAATTGGCTTGTGTATTCTATTTATAGACTTACATTGTTTCAGTTTGTTAGGAAAGATTAATAGGTCAATATTTGATCAACAGATTAACATAAATTACCAGCATGATATTCTTGATACAGGATATTTTAACTCGGTTTAAGTCACATGTCCTGTTGGTGATGTTACTAAATAGAACTACAAGTGATGTGGATACTTTGTAGTGGTTAGATACAGAAACACTCGTCATGGCTTTACGTCTTGTGTCTATCTTCACGCTTATTGTGACGGTTGGATTGGGTGCAATGTTCACGTTGATTTACTCCACGCATACCTTTAAAAAAGACCCGATCGGTAAGTGTATTCTGTCTGTGTATTATTCGGGCATATTTTATTTATGTCAATGGTTATAGTTCAAGTTTCTTGTGGAACCACCCTTTTTGATGCCGATCAAATTCCACAGGTAAAATATCTCATAACTTACTTGGATTGACCAAAGTTTACAATGCTGGTGTCGTCGATGAAGCAGAAGACGTCCACTCTTCCGGAACACCTGGTCCTATTCTCCTTGTACTTTTTTCAAGAGTCTAAGTGTAAATCTTTCCTTTGTTTATGTGTTGTCCTAGTTTTATTGAATTTGAGTTTGGATTATGATTATGTTGACATGTTGATGTTTTCTTGTTTCTTTTATTTATGAGGGAAAGTTTCTGTTTCCAAAAAATCGCGAAAAAGCATGAGAAAGGAAAGATATAAACCTGTGTATTTTGCCGATTTGTTTAATATACTTGTTTTTGATATTTTAAACAATACTTGGACATACATATTTGTTAGTGAAAAGAATCCCAGCGTTCGATATTATATGCAAATTGTATTTTCCTTTCTATGCTTGTCTATAAGGATGGTAATGGACATATTAAATCACAATGGAGACTATTAGCTGAATTTAAGTACATCATTTATGAATGTGCAGTGTTTTTATTTTAATATCCATTATTCCAGAATTAAAGATAACAACTTACCTGTTTTCAACTCATTAATATCAAATATCAAAACAGAAAAAAACAAACAAGCAAACAAAACAAGTAAAAAAATTACCCACGTGTCAACATAATCATAATCCAAACTCAAATTCAATAAAACACGAGAAAGAACGAGATGAGCGGTTAATGCAGAAAGGTCTGTCATGTCTTTGATCACCAACTCTGTTGGTTATATCCGATAGACGTGATCTATGAATTTCTTGTTATCTAAAATCAAGACCTCGTCCACATACCTGAAAGTAGAATTAACCGAATTTGCAAGGTCCATGTGACCATTTTTGATATATGAAAACAAAAACATGTCAGCAAACAGAGAGGTACAGGTAGTTCGCAAATGTATACCAGTTGTTGGTTGGAAGATCTGACCACCAAACTCAAAGAAGATGTTGCCAGCCAGAAACTTGATAATTTTTATGATTTCGTCTCCTTATGTATATATATTCTCTTCGATCTGGACATATTTTTCACCAAATACGACTCACAATCATTTTCTTCTACCATCGATCACCTTTATTGAAAAACAAAGCTCTCATAACAAGAGATCATAACAAGAGATCAAATGCATTCTTTCAGTTAAGACTGGGGTATAGTATTGTGCAGAGTGACATATCAAAAGATGTTTTGATAGATGATTAGTAGCTTTACTAAAGGGTTGATTGTATAGCTAGACGACCATATATATGGGTTTTTGTGCAGTTAAGGAATCCAATACAAACGGGGGAAGTTCGTATTCTTATCTTTGATAGAAAATAAATCTTAATTATTGTAATACAGAAGCATAATTAGCAAATGATAATTAAGGAGTTTTATTTATTCAATTAAATAAATCCGTGGAGCAAATGGAATGTCCCAAATCATGTTAATGGAAGGAAGAATTAAGTATTATGTTTAAGAGAGAGCACTCGTAAGTAAGCAATTATTTTCTTTTTAACCTGGCAATAGTGATATTACAAGAATCGTGAGAAATTGTAAAATCAATAATGAAATACATTTAGTTGGGGAATTATTTTCTTCAATATATATTTAAAATGTAAAAAATTCTATTTCAGAGCTATGCCCTAGTGAACCGTCACAGTCCGTTCGCGCACTCAGCATGCTTAATTCCAAGAGGAAGATATCGTACGTGCTTGTCGTTACACATCCCCGTAGTGGTTCGACCTTGACAGGTGACATCATTCAGAAGTATGAAAACAGTTTCTATGCGTTTGAACCACTTCGATTTGCAGCCGAGTCCATGCAACTTGGGCAAACTGTCATTTATCTAAATGGCACAAAACGGTCAGTCTGTTTTTGGCGTATTATAAATAAGCATTTTTTTTTCAAAGTTTAGACCACTTAAAGCGTTAGGGTCACATGACCGTTATAACTATTACTTATTTTATTCAAGACAATGTGATCAGGACTAGGCAGAGTACACAAATATACTTCCGTACAGTATCATTACTCCTCATATCGTTTTCACGTTTGTTTTGAAGGCAGTATTTTCATATTACTTTCTTTATGTTGGTGTTGACACAATTAATTCTAATCTACCTTTAGAATGATTTATTGAACTTCACACAGCATGTTTTTTTTCCATGATTCTGTACTTCAATTATAGTTTCCTTTTTCAATTCTCTAGCAACTACAACTACACTCGAGATGCCGTTTGGGTGGAAGCCGATTTAGTATACAGATGGTTTACATGTGATTTCTGTCGTATCAACATCAAAGACCTGAAAAGCAAGTTTATTCAATCATATTCAACTAATTTACAGGCCTACGCCTATTGTCTTAAACGAAACAAATATGGATCAGTATCACAATGTGTACCATATTTACAAAGAACTTGTGAAAAGGCTAGAGTACGCGCCATCAAAACAGTACGCTTGTTTAGTCTGGAAACTATATCAATTCTATTAAAACGGATACCGCATCTCAAAATCGTATATCTTGTGAGGGACCCCAGGGGAAGACTTGCCTCCCAAGCTGCTTTAGACCCAACGGAGTGGAATATTGTGAAGGATCAATCAAGGACAATGTGTACACAACTGCACGAGGAAATAAGATACCTTACTGAAATATGGAAGCTTTATTCAGAACAGGTGAAAATTCTTATGTACGAAAGGTTTGCAATTTTTCCGATTGAAACATCGAAAAGGTTGTTCAGTTTTTTAGGTTTGGATTTTGATAAGTATTTACAGGTCTTTGTCAGATCGGTTACCAGTGGAAGTGTCGATAATGCAGGCTGTTACTGGTGTACAAAGAAAACAAATTCCCAAAAAACAGCCGTCAATTGGCGTAAGAGTATTAAATATGACTATGTTAAAATTATAGATGATCAGTGCAGCGATGTTTATCATCAACTTGGGTACATCAACATAAAAAACGAAGATCATCTTCGGAATACATCGAACTCGCTTGTCAGCGAAAGAAATCTAACATGTTTATTATTATGAATAAAGCAGATGAAATAATACACACACACACACACACACACACAACCACACACACACACGTACACACATATATATGTATAATACACACACACACAACCACACACACACACACACGCATACACATATATATGTATAATACATCACGTCCCTCTGGGACTCGTCAGTGATGCGACATCATACAGCTGCTTCGTTCGTCTAGGACTCATCAGTGATGCTACATCATACATCTGTTTCGTCCTTCTGGGACTCATCAGGGATGCTGCATCATACAGCTATTTCGTCTGTCTAGGACTCGTCAGTGATGCTACATTATACATCTGTTTCGTCCTTCTGGGACTCATCACTAATGCTTTGAAGCCAAGAAGGCGTCTTCGGAAAGTCCAAAGTAAACGAAAGAAAAGACAAAATAAAGACGGGGAGGTGCAACCTGTCCATGTTAAATAAATTTCGGAAAAATTCCTACATCAGATGTTTTTAGGATATCATCAAGTACATACATAAGTAACGGTAACAAATGTTCATTAATAGATTAATTAGTTTTAGAATGTTTGATATACAGTATTAAGTATTTGAGATAAGTAATAAAAGGAGAACAAATGTACTTGGTGTTGATGTTTTTGTCTTTTGTTATTTTTCCTGATAAACCATTATAACTTAGACAAAAACTAAGCAGAACATCTTGTTAATGACAAAAAATAAGATATTGAGAATATCGTAGGGGTCATGTAATTTAAAAAGATAATAAATCTACACGCCTATGGACACATGTATGATATTGCTTAATTCGGAAATAAAGACTGATAAAAAAGGCCATACAATGCAAGGTATTGTTCAAAGATAAGTCAACGGATAATTTTGTTTAAGCAGTAAGCATACACAATGTGTCTTGCCTGACAATATCACGTGGAATACTACTAAAATATACTCAATGCCTACCGTAATTTCACAGCTTGTAGACAAGAGGTTAATATATGGTTTAGATACTGTGTGGTCTTACACAAGACCAATATTACGCTAGAAGCGTCATTTTCATTGATATATTTGCATACCTTTGTTGGCGTCAATGAATCGGTTAGAAAGAAGTTATAACTTGACATAGGAGGAACCTAAATATACCATCGATATCATGGCTTTCAGAGTGGATATACTCTACAGCTGTTTCCTAATTCTCTCCATACTAACGGCAAGCATGTTATGTTCTGTGTATATTACCCTTATAAGGAACGATCCTCGACACGCCCTAAAGGACTTCACTACAGTAAGAATTGACCTACCAACGCGTAAACCAACAGGTAAACAGTAAAGAAATTAAGCTAATTGCTTTTCTTCTTTCATTCCTTTAAACATCGTGCGATTTAGTAACGCTTTAAAAACACCAAATAAAATGGGGACATGAAAAAAAAATTAATTCAACACACAAATTCGATGACACTTTGGCAAATGAAAATGGAACACCGCCACCCCCTGTCGTGGTTATCTGCATTCTTTGTGTAAGATCTTCACAAATGTATAGAGTTGGTATGAACGGCCTTACTGTGTCGATGTTGTGGTGTGCAGCCATATTTAAAGTCTCTAGTAAACTTAAAGCTCAAACTCAATGCTTTTTACGGGAAGGTTTTTTTCTAGTATGGTAGCGGGTTTGGAAAAAAAATACAGACATTTGGTATGAATGTAAAGCTAATGCCATAAATTCTTTGCTCCATTGATTTTATACCTAAATATCATTATCTTAATATTTCGTATATTCACCAAGTGACTTGCATTCTAGCAGAGAATGAAATCATTATCCTATTCGCTGATCCAACGTTCAGTATTATTACCTCTTCCAATTTAAGTTATGATTGACAGCTCTGAACTTAAAAGTCCTTCTTAATGAAAAAATGGTGATAAATTTTCTCATTATTGAAAACAACAGGCACACAAGGAATACTGTTTCTGACCATTAAAAGTTATCTTTATTAATTTAATAATACATTTTTATCTCACAAAGCAATTACACTAGTTTTTTGAAAACCTTGTCGAGACTCTTCCTTTCACCATAACACTAGGATTGAGTGATAAATGTAAACTAGAAATCCTGCAGAAAGTGACTTCATTTCTTAAGACATCTAACTTGGTTTTCACCAGAAAGTATGTGCAGTCTTTCACTCAAAGTTTACCACAACTCTTGGGATAGGGTTGCATTTTTTAGGTTTTAGGATGAGCCCTTAACTTTAGGGCCTATTACCTGGCTTTCGCGGATTTCCTGAGGTTACAAATAATACTAAGCCAAATATGACCTATGTTAATTGTTTTATCGTTTTCGCAATGCATCAATTGCATGTTTAATTAGATTAATTACAAGCATCTACAAAGTTTTCATAACTTACAAGCCATAAACGATTTTATTAATAATACCCATTTGAGTATTCATTCTCTAAACTTACTTTTAACTCTGAAATATATAACTAGGAGAATACATGCATGGATTAAAGAATCCTCCTGGGGGTTATATCTTATAGCTAAGAAAAGCTACCGTAAGAATATTCAAATCCTTAATGGCACCTGACTTCACATGATTGTTAGTGATATCCATTCAAACATAGATAACCAACATACCATCTTGCCTTGTTTATCTAGGTCAATCCACGTAAGTAATGTCACGTTCTCAAATGAGAACACGGTATACAACAACAGATTCTACAGGGATACTTACGCGTATCAAACACGGCCAGCGTAATATCATGTTTGTTCAGATAAAGAAGAACTCTAATAAATTTTGGTAGAAGTTATGATGTAGAAGAATTATTGATGATTTTCATATTAAGAATAAAACAATTTGGTTAATCATAATGTTCAATATTTTTGATCATCGATGAAGAATGATAGATCGATAAAAAGAATTTAGTAACCATGGTAACAATCGCATTGAATTATATACGGATTTATATCCATTTCAGTAAAGACGATGACTATGAGAGAACATTTGATACAGAAGATCCATCAGATCCCGAGAGAAGGACTGGGTACTCCTCCTTGTCCGCATGTTCTGATATTTACTCATCCGAGAAGTGGTTCAACCTTAACGGGTCATATTATTCAACAAGTTTATGACAGTTTCTACGCTTTTGAACCTCTCCGATATCTTTCTGAATCTTTGGAGAAGGGTGAACGGATCGTATTTCCTGATAAATCCGAAAGGTTGGTAACAAAGTGATCTGTTTATTTGTGTGACGTGAAATTGGATGTGTGTGATGCTCGATAGTTTGTATTTTCGTTCCGTTGTTTTAGAAATATAATTTCATTTGAGAACGTGGCATTGCTGACTTGGATTGGCCGGTGTCGTCGATGAAGCAGATTCTTTCTGAAAATTTAGTTAAGAGAGTGAAAACTTGGTGTTAAAACCAAATATTAAATATTTGTCAGGTCATGTTTTTGTAGAGTAGAAACGAAACAAAAACATATAAGACGTAACACATTTTTCAATTATCCTCTACAACAGTACAATATGCAATTATATCATGAAAATAGCAAATCTTTGCGAACACAGTCCGTTGTACGGTATTTTTGGAAAGTCATGAAATGAGAATCTCAGTCTTAATAGTATTTTTCTTGTATAGATTATTGTGATTGCTTTTAAATGTAATTGTTCAATATCTTTCTTCCACAGATTGTACCAACCTAACGAAACAACTTTGGTACAAGCGGAAATACTGTACCGATGGTTTACCTGTGATTTTGACCGAGTCAACCTTAAGGACCTCAGTAGCTTATTTATAAGAGAATACTCAATCAACTTACACGAGTACGCCCAATGTGTACGTAGGACTCGTAACCCTGAAAAAACTGTTCCTGAGTGCATCCCTTTGTTAAAGGGTCAGTGTAACAGAGCAAAGGTGCGGTTGATTAAAACAGTAAGGCTCAGTATTGAGTCAGTGGAATTATTGCTTCATCTTATGCCTAACTTACGGGTAATATACTTAGCGAGAGATCCCAGAGGCAAACTTTCATCTCAGATGTCTTTACAACCAGCCAATTGGGAGATTGTGACTTTCTTGGCGAAGGATCTCTGTGAATTACTTAGTAAAGAAATCAATTATATTCTAGAACTTCGAGAAATATACCCACAGAGACTGAAAATATTGATATACGAACGATTTGCATACGACCCTGTTGAATGTTCCAGAAGATTATTTGAATTCATCAATTTGCGGTTTACAACAGAACTAAAACTTATCATTAAAAGTTTGACCATGGCAAAGGTAGACAAGACAAGTTGTTACTGGTGTGCTAAACGAACCGACTCCTATCTAACGGCCAACAAATGGCGCAAGGGAGTCCTTCTTAAACACATAAAGAAAGTTGATAAGATTTGTTCGGTTGCATACCAGCAGCTAGGCTACCGAACTTTATCTGATGAAACAACGCTTCGAAACATATCTTTACCCCTGTTTGTTCATACAAATATTACACACACTTTTTTATAACAAGTATCCTCATTCAGTTGTATGATGCTGAAAACACTGATTTATATTTAACACAAGACAAGGATGAATAGAATTTTATTTCACATCACGCAATTTGACAGCAATACCAAAACTCCTGGATTAAAAAGACTGAAGACAGCGACGAAAAGAGAAATTTCAGGAGTGATTAGTTTGTCCAGAAATTAGCTGTCATCAAGACTGACATTGAGTATTGAGAAGTTTTAAATGGAAAAAGGCGTGTTGGAGTCCGGCAAAATGATGGATTACCAAACGGTAACTACTTTATTAGTTCCACGATATTATAAAATCAAAAATTAATTCATCTATATTGAAAAGGACAAAAATGCAATTTTATCCTTTTTCTGGCATGATATGAATATTTATCTATCCTGAATTTCTTTCAATCAGGTTTTAATTTTGGCTTCAGAAGATATTTCTTTTCCTTCTTTGGTGAATGTCAGACAATCTAATAGACCAAAGATTCCCTTCTGAATTAAAAACCATCGTTAAATTATCAATATAAGATATATTCTA